AGGTGCCTAAATTATCTCTCTAAGTTTTTCAAGGATTTTTCTCTTCTTTGTGCTCCACTGCGCCAAAGATTAAAAAAAGTCCCCTCCCCCATGGTCCGATGAGCATACAAAAATAGTTAGAATCCTTAAAAGCAAAGCAAAAAACCTTCCTTGCCTATCTATTGCTGATCCAGAAGCCTTCAAAATTGTGGAAACTGATGCATCTGAATTAGGATATGGAGGTATCCTAAAACAAAAAATAGGTGACAAGGAACAACTAGTTCAGTTCGCCTCTGGCACATGGAACCAAGCACAACAAAATTACTCTACAGTCAAAAAGGAAATTTTATCTATAGTTTTATGCATTTCAAAATTTCAAAGTGACTTACTAAATCAAAAAATTTTAGTTCATGTTGATTGCCAATCTGTAAAAACTGTTTTAAAGAAAGATGTTCATAACATAGCCTCAAAAGAAATTTTCGCCAGATGGCAAGCTATTCTTTCTGTATTTGACTTTGATATTGAATATATAAAAGGAGAAAACAATTCTCTTCCTGATTTTCTCACCAGGGAATTTTTGCAGGGAAAAGCAGGAGCTTAAGTGCGGTTACTATGCCTCCCAAGACAAGTAAAGGAGCCTCAGTTGCAAGCACAAAACCGCACAAAACAAAAGATGCATATGCACAATCATCCTCTTCTCAGAACCCTTCCAAAAAAACCTGGTATGATAAAGTCGAGGAAGATGAAGAAGTTATGTGTGCTAGTCTATCTCCATTAATTACAAACCAGTTTTCAGCCTTAACCACAATTCCACAACATGTCATAGACATGTCCCCAATCCAGTATGACCCCATCCAAGCATACTTACAATCCCAAGAACCAGTTTTTCCTCCCCTTCAAAAAACTTATGCTGCAATTTCTTCAGCATCAGATAAACAAATTTCCTCAAGATCTGTTTCACAGCAAGTGGTGGTCAACAATCCCACTCTCAAAAAATCTCGTTATTTTCAAAAACCAAATTAATCAACCATTTATGTGGTTGAAAAAGAACTTTTTAACCAAAACCTAGTTTTACTTTCTCAAAATCATTTTGTCAAAGGTTTTCATTATCCAACATCAGATTTTCAGAAAACACAAAATTTTTATGAATTTATTTTAGTGGACACTGATTCCATCAAAATTCAAACTCATTCAAAACCCGGTGATGAGTCTTTCATTTCTCACACCACATGTACCATTCAAAAATTCCTTACCCCGGCAGCCTGGGGTAAAAATATTAATGCTCTGAGGCAATTTTCTTAGCCTCGCAACCCTCAAACTTTCAATTACTGGGACTATCAGGATGCCTAGTACAATACCTTTTATTTCCAAAATCAGGATTATAGCCATTCCTGGCTTATCCTTTTCCAAAAGAATTTCAATCTAAAAGTCCCCAGATGGTTCATTGACTGGTGGCATATGTTTGGTCCTTGCCAAGAAATCATCCCTGAAACGGTGTCCAAGGGATTTTCAATTTTCAATGAAAAATTCTAAGCTCCTCCTGAGCTTTCCAAATTTCCCAAATCATTCTTATTTTTTGCAAATTTCGCATTGTCATGGATAGTTCTATGGCAATTCCAAATCCTCAAAACCCCTTCTAATATATTTATATATTTGCACCCTATCATCTGGACAAAAAAGTTGATTGATTATTCTTGAAGCTACAGCACACTGCATACATTCAGTAATCAACTTTGATTTATTTTATTATAAAAAGTGACTAGTTAACTAAAACTGTTAATGATCAAAATGCCTAAGCAAAAGGTCTCTGGTTGTAGCAGTCCAGGTTGTTGCCATATCCCACTCCCAATATGTCGCAGTACCTCTTGTAGAATCCAATACGGTCTTGCACCTAAGCATTCACGCCTTTTCCGCATTCGATTCCACCATTGATGATGTTGGTGATGACTCCATAGCCCGGTACCCTACCCACTGTACTGTCTGCAGCAGAAGGCGTCCATTTTCCAATGATGACATCGTGGCACGATGGCTTTGGTGACTGTGGTGTTGAATGATATGGTTGGGTTGGTTGCAACTAAATACGGATTGTTTAACAGATCAGACCCTATGGCTTTTTCTGCTAGACCATAGTTGTAGTTGCTGCCAAGTCGTGATCAAATTCAATAACTTGGTCAACATAAATTAAATACTTCTTTGTAAGGAAAGAGTCAAAAATTATGTGAGGAGGGTAATAATGAATTTTTTAAATATTTTCAAAAGGACAATAATAATCTTTTATAGGTATATAATTGAAAAAGACAAAATAACAAGGGTATATTACTAAAATGAAAATACAAGGGCCGCAATTGGCCCGTCACATACATGTAAGTCCGTCCCTCTTCTCTACCAACTAAGTAGGTGATTAAATGATCATTCAATTAGAACAAGATTGAATTGGGCAATGCCAATTAATCATGTGGAATATTGGACTCACTAAATATAATAAGCTGTGATTTGGTCAGGCTATTGGGCTTAGACTATTAATTTTGAAAATCATTTTCTAATTGAATTTTATTTTTTAAATATGATACTTCAAATTTTGAATCAACATATTTAAAACCAATTAAATAAAAAGTTCATGCTTTCTGCAAAGAGAGAGGAGTTCTTTCTATGAAATTTGGATGGGGCCACGACCAAAGTATTTTTTACCAGGAGCGCACGGCCATTGATTATTTGCAACGCAGTAATCAGGTGGATTGCCTTGTTCCCGAACAAAGCAGTATCCCCATGCATAAGGACCATCTGGTGCACTTGCCCACCCACCTATATGGTATATATATAGATCCATCATGAATATATATATATATCATCTCACTTATAATCTTTTTTCTTTTCTTCTCATTCTGTACACACTAAAATATATACACTTGAACATATTCAACAAGCAAGGGTGAGACATTTTTCTTATGGATCCTCTGCATTACAATATGCTGTGTTGTACTGCGTCCCATGGATCTCAATTGTACTCCATCCGATGCAGTACAGTGTGCATGTTTCTCAACATCATAAAGAGCCTAGGGACGAGAACATACCACACGAACTAGACCACACATGGTACTTGTTTTTTGCTTTACATTATCGGTAGCTAGTATTAGTCATATTTATGATAATACTGCCACTTATAATGATGGATAATTGTTAAGAGTACAAGACATTTTATAGAGCAAAGAAAGATTATACCTGTAGTTTCATGTGAAGTTTGAGCCAAGAAGGCTGCAATCTCTCTTTTACGAGTAGGGGTGTCACCGGTTGTTCCGAAACCTCCAAAGGAATTGGCAGCAGCTATGAAAGCCTCGTAGGTGTAGAAACCCTTGCCGGGGCAGTTGCTGTCGTTGCGGTGCTTTAACATCTGATCAAACAGCGCTTTGCTAACAAGAGAACCAACATTTTGTCCTTGTGCCAAGGACATTACCATGAAGAAAAGAGAGAACAAAACTAGTACTCCAAGAGACCTCATTTTCTTTTATTTTCTTTTCACTCAAAGTTTGTGAGGTTATAGAGGAAGAGAGATGGGTATTTATAGGCAGTGAATAAAGATTGCTCTTGTGATAATTCTAAGAAAAATCAACCAGGATGTGGTCATCATGCATGGTGGCTTTTACAAGTCTCATGTGTAACAGTGTGGGCTGTAGCGTGTCCAATTCTGTGTTTTGTTCAATCGGATATGCTTGAATCATAAGAAAAAAAGAGGAGTGAGAAGTGACTGTTAGATCTTGACTCCATTGTTTCCAGCTACTGACATTAGTGGAGATAATTGCGGTAAGATAAGGAAAATGAACTAGGGATGTGGTCATGCATGGCGGTATAATTAAGGAAGACATTGTCTAGAAGCTGCATCTCAATGTTTTATATTAAAACTAAAATCAACCTCAGTGACTTGCCTATTTTAGATTAGTGTTGGAATTTAGAAATCTAAGAAAAACTTGTGACCTTTTGGTTTAGCTTTATATCTTATCCCTAAAAGTTAGCACTTATGAAGACAATTGGTTTTAATATTGATATATATAGCACACCTTTAATTAAGGAATTGTTGTTCAAACAGTTGTGACATCAATGACATATTGGCAAGAATTGAATCATGGCCTCAAATAAAAATAATAAAAAGAAAAAGAAAAAGGAGAATAATAATGCTATTTGAGCATGGTTTCATGTTGACTCAGCAATGATCAATTGAGTGAGGTTTACACTTTCTAATTTTTAGACACAATGGTGGAGTACCAATCACATGCATTTATTTGCATGAATCCCACTATTTCTTCTTTTCTTAATCTTACCTGTATTCTCTCTTTTTTTTTTTTTTTTTTTTGGGTGAGATAGAGACAACCTCTAAACAGATCCTGCTTCTTTTATCCTCTGCTCATTCTTTATATATATATATATTTTGTTTTATTTTTTTTTTATACAGACACACTATCTCAAAGAATTGGACACTCAACCGGCCAGGACTTACTCATTCTTAAATTTATTAAGAAAGGAAATAATTTTTACACCAAGTAGTTCAGTAAATTGTCAGACCTACTGTTTTTAAGTGGTTATTTATGCAAAAAAATAAGAAGGTGAAATCTTCCAATTACTTGTATTTTGCTTAAATAACCAATCAAAATCATTCATTAGGCAATTTATTAACCAATCAACTTGTAAAATTTGTAATAAATTTATTGCAAAACAAAGCGTAGACCATGATACCAGCTTAATAGAAGTCTATGGAGCTAAGTTCAGACCCAAAGTTTAGTATTAGAATATGGGTACTAGAATCCTCTTACTCAACTGGCCCATCTCATCCGGGTTAGCTTGTTGTATCTAAAACAGGCCTAACAACAACCCCGAGGACCACACATATTTGACTCTCTAACCCATCTTATTAAACAGATCTCTATATTTTTAAATCAAATTAAGCCTAGCCCAATTAGACAACATGTACAATATGGATATCTTGACTCTGGCCCATCTTATTGAACACTGACCTGGATAATTGACTCAAGTTAAGGACCAACTCAATTACACAAACATGAAATTGCCCGAGATTTCATTACGACGAAGAGCAAAATAAAATACACACAAATTTTAAACTTTGGATTTGAAAATACAATAAGTGGTAGTTCTCAAATTCTCTTATTTGGATACTAGTTACATAGGCTGGTCCATCCCATTATTTTACTAATATTCTTATTCTTGTCTCCAATTCTTTAACACCAGAGCTGTTTATGGCCCGAAGGGACTTTGATTGTTGCAATCCAAGTTATTGCCATGGCTCAAGCCCAGTATGTCACAGTACCTCTTGTAGAATCCAATCCGATCAGCCACCTTATCATTTGGACCTTTGCCACACTCCTTCCCACCATTGATTATGTTGGTGATGACACCATAACCCGGGACCCGACCCGCTGCTCTGTCTGCATCGGATGGTTTCCATATTCCGGTGATGACATTGTGGCTTGAGGGCTTGTTATATTGTGGGGTCATCCAGAACCAAATGGCAGTCTTAAATGATATGACCGGGTTTGTCGCTACCGAATCCGGATTGTTTATGAGATCCGCCCTAATGGCTTTACCCGCTTTGTCATAGTTATAGTTGCTGAGAAAATAAAAAAGGCAAAGGTTAAAGAAAGTTAATCTATTGTTTGATATGCCTAGTCCAAATATATATTCTTTTAGGAAAAAGTTCAGATTTTTCTCTGGCAAAAAAAAAAAAAAAAAAAAAAAAAAAAAATGATCGATCATATGTCATGGGCAAGAGAACTCGGATACTTACTGAGTGAGTTGGATGGGTCCTCTACCAAAGTACTTTTTACCGGGAGGGCATGGCCCCTTGCTCGGATCACAGGGATAGTCCGGTTCGCCTCTTTCCCGAATGAAGCAATATCCCCATGCATATGGACCATCTGGTGCACTAGGCCACCCACCTGCACCAAAAACAATTAGGCTTTATGTGTAAGCAACAAAAAATATATATATACAAGAGCTTAGTAATCTTAATCATAGTAAACAAATTGAGGGTTAAGATTTAAACTAACTAACCTGTTGTTTCATGAGATGTTTGACCCAAGAATGCTACAAGCTCCCTTTTTCGTGTAGCAACATCTCCGGTTGTGCCAAATCCGTTAAAAGATTTCGCAGCGGTGATGAAAGCATCGAATCTGTAGAATCCATTACTTGGACATCTAGCATCGTTCCGGTATTTAAGCATTTGGTTGAAAAGTGCTAGGCTGATGAGGGAGCCAATGTCGCCGCCGCCACTGCCGCCGGGGGAAGGGGTGGGATTGGGGGGATTTGGAGTTGAACCACCAGGCCTGCATTGGCTCTGGCAACCTTTTATGCAGTAGTCAGATGTGGTGCCACAATAACCATGTTCACTGCAGCATAGCCCATTTGGGCATAGGGCACCCCCAGCTTGTCTACCACATTGTTCAGCTGATATAGCTAATATTGAGGCTAAGGTAAAGAGAATCAGAGTCGAAAACCTCATATGTCACGCCCCAAAGTCCTAAATACATTAACTCTTATCTCGTATTAAGATTTGACATGACTTTCCTTACACATCCACAACTTTACAATAGAAATAATTAAAAAAAGAAGTAGATGAAAACCACCCTCTAATTTATTAAATCGACACAACCATAATATCAAACAACCTTGTCAAAAATAATCCATGATAACTGGACAAAATGAACTAAACCAAAGAATGCAACAAACAAGCCAAAATCCATCACCATCATGTAATCCCATCACGTTCCTACTCAACGTGTACCTGAAATGTGATAATGGGGTGAGCTCACAAGCTCAGCAATAAATGCTAAACACAATCATCGTTCAGCAAATTAACCTTACCTTATATTCCTGTATATATAAGCAACTCAAATAAGTTCATTATTCAAATGTGTATAACCCAGTTAATTATAAACTTAATAAATAACCATCTTTTATTTTTTAATAAATCGGCATATCTCACATGAGCCCCGGGCTCCCGTCCAATAAAAATGGTGTGAATCGTATAGTCCCTGACTACCAAAAACACACGTGTGGCTGGATTGTACGTCTACTCCCCAGATGATCCCTGATCACGTCCACACAATAAGGGCTCATTAGACCCATGGCCATAATAAAAAGGGTAGTGCACTCCCAAATAGGTAGGTCCCTGACCATACCCAAAAGTCATCATAGAGTCAGTCCCTGACTGCCCTCCGACTAATCCAAACTCATCATTATTATTTATGGTGAATTATGAAATACATTATTAATTAATAATTTAAAATCAATAAGTAATACACCCAAACACGCTTTTAATTTAAAAATAGAACCCTATAAACCCAACTAGTGAGAGTACAAAATTCTGGACATAGCCTAATATTAGATATGACTCGCTACAAAATTTCAGAAGCTAAGTCTTAATAATATTTCCGTACTCTCCATCTTAGTGCTAAAAATAATACTTTTTTCGGGTTTTAATTTCGTAAAACTACCAAAATGTCATTTAAAAATCTGGATTTCAGCAAAACTAAGTCCATTATACTAAAAACTAATATTCTGGAATTTCAATAATTTTTTTTTTTTTGAATACTAAAAAAAAATACTCTTCTATATTTGTTTTTCAAAATTTAAAATAATTAAATATATTATTCATTTCGGTTGAACCCGGGTATTGCCCCCAACGGACTAGGCTCGGCGAGTAGATTCCAGTGATAACTTTCAATAGTCAAACCGATGTCTCACGGCAACACACTCTCCCTCACTTTCCATTGCCAAGAATGTGCTTCGTAGAGAAGAACCCAAAGTGGGTCTTCACCACCATAATGCATTTGCTTTTCTATCTGTTTTTTTCTTTTCCAACCAATATCTAACGGTTCTACCTTCTATTGACCCCAAAGTCTACTTTTAAGCTTTCTGTAGTCAATAAAGCTTAAGTTTGAAACATCAAATTGAATGCAAGACTTACAACAATAAATTATTTCACTTATTAAAATATTCCACGCTGAACTTGAATTCTAACTCTCCGTAAATCAAACAATTCGTATAAGTATATTGATATATAATAACACCAAATCAGTTTCCATATATATACACACATATAAGATCAAATCAGTCTATTAATCAAGCTTACCATGCATATAGCAAGTATAAAAACATGTGAATTACATTTATTCAATATCTATACACACAAACACACACACATGCGCATCAAGTAAGTGTCCTCCATTTAAACTTATATTCAGTGCTATTAGAACATGTGATAAAGTTTCATGCCATTCTATGCCTAATTTACATCAGATCGATATACCCTAATTCATAAAAACATGTTATATTAATTCTTGATTAATCGTAATTAGGCAGAGTTTCGTACATATACAAGTATATAAAGCAAGATTAACTTGCCTGTTAAATATCGTTAAACCTTTCTCTCTAGCCGATCCTTTGGTCACCATCTCTTTTTCCGGCTACTGCAGATTGCCAACGAAAAATCAGTAACCCGCTTCCTCTCTTTCTCTCTCGGTAATTTCTTTCTTCTTTTTTTTTTTATGAAAAATAATATCCTCGTACTGATACGATGTAAAATATAAAGGATAAATATAACTGTATTCGAGATAACCTAGGACTCTTATTTAAAGTTTTAAATTTTTTTTAAAAAAAACTCTATTATCTCAACTATCACGTTAAAATACTAAATACTAAATAATAAAAAAAATAATGTACGAAATTTTAGGGTTTTACATTCTACCCACCTAAAAAGAAATTTCGTCCTCGAAATTTGTATACCTTATTCGAAGAGTTGTAGGTACTTTTCCTTCATTTCTGACTCTATCTCCCAAGTAGCCTCTCTCTCGTCCTGATGATTCCACTGCACCTTCACCAAAGGTATCTCTGCCCGCCTCAACTGTTTCACCATACTGTCAACAATGCGAACAGGCATCTCAACATAGGTTGCATTAGGACGAATCTGGACCTCTGTGCAGTCAATGGCCTGAGTTTCATCCCTCAAGCACCTCCTCAACATGGAGACATGGAAAACATCGTGAACAGCTGATAGTCTAGGTGGTAGAGCCAATCTATATGCCACCACTCCAACCCTCTCTGTGATCTCAAAAGGTCCAATGAATCGAGGAGCTAACTTCCCTTTCTTCCTACCAAATCTCGTAACCCCCTTCATTGGTGATACTTTCAAGAACACCAAGTCACCCACACTAAACTCCAAAGCACGACAGCGTCGGTCTGCGTAACTCTTTTGTCGACTCTGAGCTGTGCGAAGTCGATCTCGAATGATGGCAACCTTCTCCGTAGTCTCTTGCACCAACTCTGGCCCCAAAAAACTACCATCACCAACCTCAGCCCAACATACAGGTGAACGACAAGGTCTACCATAAAGTGCCTCATATGGTGCCATACCGATACTAGCCTGATAGCTATTATTATAAGCGAACTTAACCAATGGAATGTGATCCTCCCAACTGCCCCGAAAATCTAGCACACAAGCACGAAACATATCCTCTAACACCTGAATGACCCTCTCGGATTGGCCATCGGTCTGAGGATGAAAAGCAGTACTCAAACTCAAAGGAGTACCAAAAGCTGCTTGGAAACTACTCCAAAATCGAGATGAAAAACAAGGATCACGATCTGAGACAATAGACACCGGCACTCCATGAAGCTTAACTATGTCTCTAATGTAGATCTTACACAATTCCTTTACAGTATCAGTAGCTCGAATGGGTAGAAAATGAGCTGATTTAGTCAATCGGTCCACTATCACCCATACTGTATCATGGTTATGTATCGACCTCGGTAACCCCACTACAAAATCCATCGTCACATGCTCCCATTTCCACTCAGGCACAGGCAAAGGCTGTAATAGTCCTGCTGGTCTCTGGTGCTCAGCTTTCACTCGCTGACAAGTGAGACATCTAGATACAAACTCTGCCACATCACGTTTCATGCCTTCCCACCAGAACTGCCTCTTAAGATCATGATACATCTTAGTGCCGCCTGGGTGCACTGTGTACCTAGAGTGATGTGCCTCCTCTAAAATCTCTCTCTTGAGGTCTGCTAAGTCTGGAACACATAGCCTACCTTGAAATCTCATACCACCATCAGCTCCATACGCCCAGTCAACATTACCTTCATCATCAACAGACTCAACTGCTTTGGTCTGTAACCTGTCATCCAGAGTCTGAAAATGAATGATCCGGCTGATCAAAGTAGGTTGTACAGTCAAACTACAAAGAATAGCCCCTGTACTCTGAGAACTCGGCATGATAGAAAACTCTGCCAATGCCTCTAACATCATCCACTCTTGAATCATCATAAAGGCAACTAATCCTCTCAGTTTTCGACTCAAGGCATCTGCTACCACATTCGCCTTTCCAGGATGATACTGAAGAGTCATATCAAAATCCTTCATCTTCTCCATCCACCTTCGTTGCCTCATATTCAACTCCTTCTGAGTGTAGAGGTATTTGAGGCTCTTGTGATCAGAGAATAACTCAAATTCCTCGCCATACAAGTAATGCCTCCACACCTTCAATGCAAGAACCACTGCTGCCAATTCCAGATCATGTGTAGGGTAATTCTGCTCATGTGGCTTAAGCTGCCTAGAAGCATACGCTACCACCTTGTCATCTTGTATCAAAACACAGCCAAGACCCTGATGTGATGCATCTGTGTAAATCACAAATCTCTCACCACTAACAGGAATGGTAAGAACTGGTGCCGAAGTCAATCTCGTCTTCAGCTCCTCAAATGCCTGCTTACAGCGGTGATCCCAAACAAACTTCACATCCTTCCGAGTCAAACGGGTCAATGGTGCAGCAATCTTGGAGAAACCTTCAATGAAACGCCTGTAGTATCCTGCCAGTCCTAAGAAGCTACGAATCTCAGTGACAGTAGTAGGACGTTTCCAACTCATCACAGCCTCCACCTTGGCAGAATCTACTGAAACTCCATCTTTAGAGATCACGTGCCCCAAAAACTGAATCTGCTCTTGCCAAAAGTCACACTTCTCAAACTTAGCATAAAGCTGATGCTCACGCAAAGTCTGAAGTGTAATGCTCAAGTGTCTCTCATGTTCCTCCTTAGTCTTGGAATATATCAGAATGTCATCAACAAATACCACAACCAACTGATCCAAGTAAGGTCGAAACACTCGGTTCATCAAATCCATAAAAGCTGCCGGAGCGTTAGTCAGCCCAAAAGGCATGACTAAAAACTCATAGAGGCCATAACGAGTCCTAAAGGCAGTTTTAGGAATATCCTCATCCCTAATCCTCAGCTGATGGTACCCAGTCCTCAAGTCAATCTTAGAGAACAACTGCGCCCCTTTGAGTTGATCAAACAAATCATCGATGCGTGGCAATGGGTACTTGTTCTTAATAGTGACCTTATTCAGCGCACGGTAGTCAACACATAAGCGGAGTGACCCATCCTTCTTCTTGACAAAAAGAACAGGTGCTCCCCACGGTGATGTGCTAGGTCGAATAA